TCTTTTTTATTTCAAAATTTATTTTACGTCTAATGTGATAGTACAAATAAGCGATTCAAAGAATAATGCCTTGGGAATGTATCTATAATTTATTTTTTTTATTAAGTGGACTTTTTCATGATAAAAGAAAGTATAGAAAAAAAATAATGAAATATTTATGTCTTATGAGAAAAACATTGAGGGAGTCGTCGTTTTTTCATTATTTTGTAGATTTAATAAGAGTTCTTATAAATTTATCATTTTTGCGATATTCTTTTGAAGTAATAAAAATAATTATCTTCGAGGAGTTAAGGGTCTTCTGTAAAAGAATTTTGTAAAATTGTCGTTTAGATTAGAAATATTGTTTGAAAGCAGAGAAATAAAATAATTGACAACTTATAGGATAATATTAATTATCATAATTTCATGTAATACTTATTTAAGAGCAAAAAATTATTTAAGAGAAAAAAATAATTACACATTTTTGTTGTATAATTTATTATCGTAGAAATATCATATTTCGTTTATTGAAAAATCATCTAAAATTTTAATAAATAAAATTAAGTAGAATTAAAATTTCGAAAGTAATAATTATTAAAAAATATTATTAAATTTTCCAGTTCTTAAACTACTCACATCTATCAGCAACCTTAAACTTTTCTAATTGCTTGGTCAGGTATGATAGCATGCAATTCAGCAATCAAACAGTTTTCAATTTTTTACGAATTGATTGCAATTTTTAATTAACGCACGCCCGATTTTCATGCAATGATGTCCCCGCAACGATTTTAAAATCAAGTAGTAATTGAAAAACTAAAAAATTCCATATCTGTCTGAGCTCTTATAAAAGAAAATAAGCATCTAGCTGTTCAACGCATGACTTTGGAATAATTTGAGCACTCCGAATATTTAAATTGGAGTTCTCACTTCTGCTGTTCTGTTTTGGTTCGATTCAATTTTATTTATAAAAAATTTAAGAGATTTCCATACGAACGAGCCTTACATTAATTTTCTAATTTATTAATTTTATTCCTGCCTAATATGTATGTATTTGTATATCCTAAAGCAGACAAATTTAATTTTTTTGTTGTCATGCTTATTTCGCTTGTGTACTCGTCTTTTCTACTATTTAGTTACAAGTGTTCTGATACGAGAGCGGAATAATAAGCGAATAACCAAATTTCTTTAAAATTTCAAAAATATTATATTTTCTGCTATAAAATATATAGGTGTAGACATTAGAGATAAAATAGGACATCAGATGTACACAAAAAGAAAAAATTACTAAGAATAAAATAGAGTGAAAGGATTGAAGAAAAGAATACTGAAAAAATGTGATGAAATGTGAATGTTGTGAATAACTTTAAAAAGGAAATTTTTTTTTCTTTGCTTTATCGTTTTGTTTTTTTCTTTTAAAACCAAAACGTTGTAACATTATAGAACTTGTAGATAAGAATTCAAATATAATGAAAAAGGTGAAAATTTGAACCTTTTTTTTGTTGATTTTTTAACGATTTTTCTTGGATTTAGTTTTGGTTGTGTTGTAAAATATAAATAAGTGTGTCTATTTAAATGGCGTTTTAAAAAAGCCTTTGCAAATCAACGTTATTATTCTATATGATTAAATAAATGACTATGTTAATAAACAAAATTTGGTAAGTAAATCGAATTGCATATTAAGAGAGCATATCGAAAAATATTTTTGTTTTTAAAAATTCGAAATTTAAACAAATCTCTAACTTCTTTATATATAAAACTAGCCTTATTGCACTAATAACTTTTGATAGGGCCCGGCTGAGAAGTGTTACTTAAAAATTATAAAATCGAAGGCGTTATAGGTTTGTCAAGTATGTATATGGTTAGTCCAACGTTACCGCTTAAATTTATAATGAAAATTTTTTTATACTGACTATGAATAATTGCCTAGAAATGAATATTCCAAAAAAACTATATTGTTTAGAATCACATCTCAATATTTCAATTAAAACAAATTAAGCTAAAATATTAGAAAATTGAGACTAATAGGTAAATGTTTTGTTAAACAATTACAGTAAAGCCATTCTTTGCATCAAATTTTTACGATTTTAAGCGAAATGGGCTCAAAGCGACAGTCAAACTAATTTCTACACAAGGAAAATTAACGCATTATTTCAAAAATGGTTATTTCTAAAATTAAATTGCTTTAAGAGAAAGTTATTAAAAATTTTAGAGATTAATTTACTTATATGGTAGTTTTTATATATCGAGAAGAGTTTATGCAAGGTATTACTGTATTTAATGCAGTAATACCTTGCATAAACGGAACAACGGAAACAAAACTGTTAAAATTAATTTAATTATTAAAAGTAACATGAAATTTTAAAAATAATTTAAATATTTTTATTTATTTGTTTTTTTTTTTTTTAATTTAATATTCAATTAGCATTTTAGCAATATATTTTTCGTGCGTTCTATATTTTTTTTTTGTGTTATTAATTATTATTTTATTCTATTCACGCTAATTATTAATTGTCTGACTAAACACTTCCAATTTATGTTAATTAATTATAATAGAATTGTAAATAAATAATTTTAATTAATAATAAAAAAACAAAGATAACATGTTTTTATTTAATTTTTATTGTTATGGCGTGTAGGGGTGTAGAACGTACGAAAATTAAATATTTTGCAGTTTTTTGTGTTTTTTTTTTCGAAAATTTTTTTTACAATAGCTCATTTTCTGACAAATTTTTTTTTGTTTTCTTTTTCTAATTAAAATATTTGACCTTCTTAGAAATTTTTGTTCAAATAAAAACGTTAAAACAATAGAAAATGGTAAAAGAATTGAGAAAATATTTTAAATGTATGTATGTATATATGTATATAACTATATATATTTTTGTTTTATAACGGTGTTTGTATGACGTTCGTATAACAGTATATACTGCACAACGGTGTATTTTGGAGCGAAAAACAATCAAAATTATGTAAATTTTTTGTTTTTATAACCTTTTTTCAATTTTGTTTCTTGATTTTATTTTATTTGTTTTGTATTTTTGTTGTTATTTTTCTGTTTTTTTTTTTGATGTAATATTCTGCGCTGTGTAGGCGATCTTTATATACTTTAAATTAAAGAGCATTAAATAATAATTTTAATACTCTAGATATATAAACTATATAATATTCGTTTTGTTGACAGCTTTAACAATGATAATAATTATAATCGTTGGCAAGTTTAGTGTTTTTAAAAAGAAAAACATTTAAAGAAATAAAATTGAAATAAAATTTTCTAAATGCTGTTAAACAGTGAATTCTCTTTAAATTTAATTAATTACTATATGCACATTATGACAAGTTCCACGACCAGTCCGCATCGCATGAAATTGTTGAATATTTTAATAAAATTAACTTTTTTAAAGCAGTTAAAATGTGCAAACGTGTTTGTGAATGACAAATTCGGCAAATGAATTGTTCTTTTTGATACTTGCGCTGTATATCGCTCTCAACATCCAGCACAAATATTTATGTTGAAAACTTCGTGACAATCTGTAATAAAATGAACTAGTCATATTTTCAAATTCAGTCGGCGAAAAATCAATAAATATTAAGGGAACTTTAACATGCTGAACTTAATGTATTTTAAAATTTTTGTCTCCTCGTTTTATATGCGTCTGTCAAATTTCATGCAGCTAGCTTTATTATTTTTCCTAATATTTAAAATAAGATTTTGGAGTTGTTTGACAGGTACCAGAACCAGTGCAGCCATTCTATTGAAAAGCACATGTAAAATGTAATTAGGCACATGTATAGATAGACAAATTTCATATTTATATCTTTATTAGTTCTTTAATTATTTAAAATGAACTATTTAAGTTGTACACCAGCTACCCGAACCCGTTGTCCGAATTGGTCCAGTAACAGTAGGGTCCATCTTTTGACACAAATGAAGTAACTTGTAAAAGTTTGGTCGTATTTGCTTTATTCGTTTTTGAGTTATCGTGCGATCGGACGGAAGGACATGTTTAAATCAATGCAGAATTTTACGTTGAGCAAGAATATATATGTCCATACCGGAGATGACTCCTTTAAGTGTTTATAAGCTCCATACCAAAGTGAATATACTCTTCACGAAGGTGCAGGGTAGAAGAAAAATACAAAATAAATATTCACCAGGGTAGTGCAGGGTAGAAGAAAAATACAAAATAAATATTCACCGAAAAACAGTATCTTTCACTTTTTAATTATTTTAAAATATTTCACACAATTTAAAAGGAATGTTCTTTAGCAATTATTTCTCTTCCAAAAGTAAATACATAGGTACACTAATTTAAGAGAAAATTTCTAATAGGAAATAAAATAAACAGCGCCATCTCCAATCGGTGATCCGGTATCACCAATTACGTAGTGTCAATTTATTTTTAAAAAAGGTTGTATTTTGCATTCCAATTTAATTTTTGAACTAGTATTTATGTTTTTATTCAAATATATTATTTATATTGAGAATTTACTGTTACCTTATTAGTATAACTTCTATTAAAAAATATCACAGGTTCACCTATTCATTGTAAATTATACGTTTTAAAATATTTTCGTATTATTGAAATATTTAATTTAGAGTTTAAATATTTTCAATAAAAATGTGTTGAGTTACCTTTAAAAATAAAATTTTTGACCTATTTTACCTCTTTTGAAGACCAACTTAAATCATAATCTTACTTCAGAGCTCATTAAAGTTTTTGGTAAACTTTGTTAGTAATTCTTTGAAATTTTAATTTTTAGATATTTGTAATAAAATATTCGCGACATTTAATTGAAATTGCACAAATTTCGTATTTAATTAGAAAAAACAACATTAAAACTCTGGGTGGTACATTCCTTGGTGTTGGTATAATCAAAATTCAACAGTATTTTTTTCGGTTTCACATATTTTTCCAATAGTTCACTAATATAAAGTTAAAACTATAATGAAGATTTAATTTTTCCAACTTTTCTCTTAATTTTAATTTTTTCGGACTATTTTTAAGTAAATACACAATAATTAATTATTTTGACAACACAATTTAATTATCTTTTCATTAATCACAAAAATAAAAAAATAATTACACATTTTAGTTTCAACCCAGAATTGTTGCAATAACACGTGGTGGAAGACTTTGAGGGGGTGGTAATTCATCATATCCTTCTCCTGGTGATACTGTTGGTCGTTCGTATTGAAGTTGTACTTTTGGTACGTCATAATGATATCCGGGTGATTTTGTCGGTGGATCATGTCGTAATTGAACTTTTGGAGGATCATAATGGTAACCTGGAGATTTTGTGGGAGGATCATGCCTCAATTGAACTTTTGGTGGATCATAATGATATCCGGGTGATTTTGTGGGAGGCTCATGTCGTAATTGAACTTTTGGAGGATCATAATGGTAACCTGGAGATTTTGTAGGTGGATCGTGCTTTAATTGCACTTTTGGTGGATCATAATGGTAACCTGGAGATTTTGTGGGAGGATCATGCCTTAATTGAACTTTCGGTGGATCATAATGGTAACCTGGAGATTTTGTAGGTGGATCGTGCTTTAATTGCACTTTTGGTGGATCATAATGGTAACCTGGAGATTTTGTGGGAGGATCATGCCTTAATTGAACTTTTGGTGGATCATAATGGTAACCTGGTGATTTTGTAGGTGGATCGTGCTTTAATTGCACTTTTGGTGGATCATAATGATAACCTGGGGATTTTGTGGGAGGATCATGTCGTAATTGAACTTTCGGTGGATCATAATGGTAACCTGGAGATTTTGTAGGTGGATCATGCTTTAATTGCACTTTTGGTGGATCGTAATGATAACCTGGGGATTTTGTGGGAGGATCATGTCTCAATTGAACTTTTGGTGGATCATAATGATATCCTGGTGATTTAGTTGGTGGATCATGTTTCAATTGAACTTTTGGTGGATCATAATGATATCCTGGAGCTTTTTTTGGTGGGTCGTGTTTCAATTGAACTTTTGGCGGATCGTAATGATATCCTGGAGCTTTTTTTGGTGGGTCGTGTTTTAATTGAACTTTTGGTGGATCATAATGGTACCCTGGAGATTTCGTCGGTGGATCATGCCGAAGTTGTACTTTTGGTGGATCGTAATGGTAACCCGGCGACTTAGTTGGTGGATCATGCCTTAATTGAACTTTTGGTGGATCATAATGATATCCTGGAGATTTTGTTGGTGGATCATGCTTTAACTGAACTTTTGGCGGATCATAATGATATCCTGGAGATTTTGTTGGTGGATCATGCCTTAGTTGAACTTTTGGTGGATCATAATGATAACCTGGGGAAACTTTTGGTTTATCATAATCTAATCTAACCTTCGGTGGATCATAATTATATCCTGCATGATTTTCTCTACATATATATTAAATTTTATTTTTATGAATCCCTTTTGTATTTTAGATATAAATCCTTTATATACTTACAGTGAAACTACATTTTTTGTTACTACTGCTAAATTAATGAATATTGTTGATAACTAAGGGAATAAATAAAAAAATAAAACAAAAATAAAACCAACATTGCGTTTAGATCAAGAACACAAAAAACAAAAAAATAAATAAAAAAAAAACAAAAAACAAAAAGAAAATTAAAACTTACTAAACATAAGCAGATTTTCATATTGCCCTGTTTTATTTTTGTGATTACTTTCTTGTCAGGAGGTTATACACTGACTAAATTTTAAAAAAAAATTTTATTTTAATTTTAGTTAAAATCACTATCAACATTTTAAGTTCAATATCTCCAATTTCATATTTTGACCTTGAGATAAAATCAAAAAATAAAAAAAAAAAAAATTAATTTTTTTTTTTTCGAAATTCGCATGAAATATAAAAGTGCTGAAAAACTTAAGAAAAAAGAAAAAACAGAATAAAAAAAAAATTAAATGAGAAAAGAGAAAAATTCAAAAACTGGTTCTAGAACTAGAAACAAGAAAGAAACATTTTTTATTTCATCTTTGCTAGTGATCGAAAAATGTTTGTAAATTAAAAAAAAAAAATATTTTTTTTTTTTGCAAATTATTTAAATATCTTAAATATCGGGAAAGATCATCATCGATGAGTGATTGTTTTTTTAAAAATTTGAAAATATTTTTAGAAAAAAAAAAAACAAAAAGAGATGACGGGTTCAAAAAACGGACTTCTTAATAAGTCGCTCGCCTGTCTATAAATGAAAAAGTATCAGAAACAGTAATAAGAAAAAAAAAACAAAAAGAATAAAATAAAATAAAAATTTTTTATATATGAATGGAGAAATATTTTTAATATGTTTTTGTTTTTGGGATTAACTTTAATAATCTAATTTAATTTATTTGAAATAAAAATAAAATAAATAATAAAGTCGAGATATGCTTTTAAGCGAACGAAAAACAGAAACAAAAATAAAACTGAACAACTTTTCATTAGCATATGTAAAATAATTTTGTTCCGTTTAAGAAAACCAAAAAAAAAAAGAAATAAATTGTTATTTTGATTAATGAGCCGATCTTTTGGACAAAATAATATCACAATAATAAATTAAATTTTATTAATTTTTTTTTGTTCTTAAATTAATTTTACTAATAAAATACTTTGTGTTATAGAATTATAAACTTTAATACTTTTTATAATATTTTAATGTGAATTAATAAGTATAAATATTTTTTTTTGGATAAGTACTTTTGCTGCCCACGACAACGAGAACGACAACGAGAACGACGTTGACGACGACGACGACGACAACTATGACGAATAAAGCAATGAAACACAGATTTAAATTATTTATACTTTGAAACTTGTTATAATATTCTTAAATTATGGTAAAGTACTTATGTACACTTAAAATAATTATTATTATGGTTATTATATAAATTATTTTTTTGTTTTTGGAAATAACATAAAATATGTAAAACATTATATGAACAAATTTATTATAACTAGGTACATAGAATATGGGTAGTAGAAACGTATTATGAACATAATGATGTATTAAGAATTATAAAAATTTATATTCCATCGATAATGTTACAGGAATTACGGGCAAGAAAATAAAATGAAACTAAATATATTTTTGTAACGAAATCAAAAACGAGCAATAATTACTAAAGGTTTTGTGTATAACAATTTCATACTGTTGATACAAATTCTCAGTATTAAAACTTACAACATTCACTATGCTATTATGTGACGTATGGACATTTATTATGTGACGTATTGAATCTCATATGACATAAAAGTATATGAAAAATTACCACTGTTACCTCGGAATTCGGTAAAATTTTTTAATTTATTTTGAAATGACAGACTGATTTTCAAATGTATGAAAATAGGTAAATAGTAAGAACCGAGAAATTTGACATAGCATGTTAAAAACATTTAATTAGGTTGAATAATAGATTCAAGTATCTAAGAGATCAATTTGCACTTTTGTTTTTTCTACAACTGGACTTATAATAGAATAAATTCGAAAGAACTGCTCACTGCTATTCAATGAATTGAAATTTTCACGCCATAATCTTTAATTATTTTCTAATTTTCAATTAAATGTTCCTATGATTGTCAGAAACTAATCTATATTTTAATTGTTATTCATGTATTTATTTTATGTACACAATATTAGAATATGTACACGTGTTAAATAAACAATAATATAGCAAAGTAATTCAATAGTTCTTCAAGATTATTTTCAATAGTCATTTAAATAGCTAATTTATATTATATAGGAAGTTTATACTATTACAAATATGTACACCTTCTATTCTTTTTATAGTATAGAAAAAAAAATAGAAAAGCTTTTTAAGATTAACTTTTAACATATCGCATTTTGTGATATTAATTTTTTTTTTTTATTAATTAATGTGTGAGTGTATAAACATACATAATTGTGTTTTTTAAATGGGGAAGTGTATTTTTTCTGTGTTACAAATTTGGATGGTTAAGTTTTAAAAGATTGCAATTTTATTGTTTATTTTTTTTTTTTTATGATAATTGCGTTAAAATGGTTAAAATGGATAATTTATTTTTTGTTTTTACTTTTTCATTTTGAGATTATTAAACATTTAATTGATCAAGATAGAAAAATGTGGAAAAAAAAGCAATCATATTTAAATGACATTAAAAATTTATTAATAATTTTAATTCAATAGATTGCAATTGAAAAATAATTATAGTCACTATGATACTTCAAAAATATATTTTAAGATCTAAGCATTTATTTTTCATTTACTATTAAATTTAATATTATTTTCAAAATCTATATTTAATGTGTTTATGTAATTTTTTTTAATATGATTTTTTGAAATAATTAAATTCAATCTCAAATTAATAATGTGTTTGTTATTTAAGGTGATATTTTCAATGACTGCATTGTATACAGCAATGGAGGTATTTTGATTAAACTGAATTTTTAACTGTTTCAGGGTTCGTGGGCCTGCTTTGGTTTTCTATATTTCGATTTCGCCTGAATCAGTTTTAATGAAAGTGTATGTATTATGCTCAGTTTACATTCACCTTCTTATTAATCGATGAATTTTTAAGATAAGTCTGATCCCACTGATCTATCCCTTACTATACGAACCGAATTTACTTTTTTGATCATTTTTATGCAAATGAAAAGTTTTCACAAAAATAGTATACATTTACCGTACATATTTACTTCATCGAACAATATGGTCAGGGGTATTTGTCGGCAAATGCACTCTCAGCAACTGGGCTTTATTATAGGCCAATTCTGTGCTTCAAGGAAAGTGTAAAATTTGCTTTTTTTTTGCAATTTTGTATTTTGATTTTTTCGACTTATAAATTTTTCAATAACATAATACATATCTCGGAAATCGAAATTTTACTAGGGGCAGATTTCACATTTTTGATAATATTCAAAGAAATTATTAATAATATTACCAGGGATTTATTGTTTCAGTTTTGTTTCTCAACTAATGAATTTTCCAGAAAAATTGAACTCCAGAAACAGAGGCTCCAATAAAAATAAAAAAAGTTCACATTTTTTGAAGTTAGTGTATTAAGTGGAGGTGTACTTGTGTTCTTAAAATTTGAAATTAGTATTTAAACAAAATTATTAAAATCTCGTATATGGCCTTCCAAGAATAAATTAATTGGAAAATATGTGTAGATTACATTCGGTTTTGTGCTGACCATATCATATTTTTGTTTTGCTTCATGTTTATTACTAGACAAGATAGAATTAAAATATTCTGTAGAAAATTTTCAATTTATGTTTTCAATTTCTTTCAAAATCGCAAAATAAAATTATAATTAAAATTTATAGCACATGCACAATTGTGTATTCAATAAGTAATCTATTTTTACATTTAATTCGAAAAAATTACATATGTATACCTTGAATTATTAAAATTAAAAAAAAAAAAATAAATTAAGAACTCAATTTATTACTTGACATCATCAATTGAATTGAAGTTTAAAAACTTTAAAAATTAATTTGTTTTGCTATAATTTCGAAAACCTAATTTAAACTACTTGTTCAATTCATTAAAGTTGTTTTTTTAGATTAGAAAACGTAAAAGTGATCTTTTTCAAATCATTATTATATTATAATTAATTATATAACACATTAAGAGAAAAATTTTGAAACATAAAATAGCAAAAATTGTAAAAAACATGTATGATTTTATTATAAAAAAGTAAAGAAATAAAATTATTCTTAATTGAAGGTGAAGCTGTGAAACATGATGAAATTTGATTTAATTTCTCAATATCTGGCTTTAAAATTATTCCCAATCAACTGATGGTAATAAAATATAAAAAAGCTTTAGTTTAACCAAACTGTTCTATATAATATTGGGCATTAATTTATAAATAGGAATTTTATTAGAAAAATTTTAAGTGTTGAAAAAAATTATTGAATTTAATTGCTATTTCTATTTTAAGAATTTTAAATACGTTAGTAATGTTCTAATATTTATAATTTAAAGAAAAATTCTTTTTTATATTAAAATATTTGCTGTTATTATGAGATTTTAAAACAATGATTAGTGAAATCAATATTTGCCATATAGTATAGGAGAAACTGTTCTACGGTGGCGGTATTTTCATTTTTACTTTCAAAGCGAATGTAGTGAATATTTTTCTATTTGACATATGGGGTAGATATGTTGTCGTACGAGGCGCGTTGGACAGCGATAAATTCACCAGTTTTAAGTAAAAGGAATTTGACAATCAGAAAACAAAAAAACTTTGAATTCTAAATAGGTAGACATACATTTAAATTTTTTTAGAAGTACATACCTACCTAGCTGACAACATGTACCTCTTTCATTTCCATTGGATTACAATTTACTTAATATTCATTGATTATATGTATAAGCTTTTCCTTACTAATTGAAATTGATAAACATTTATTGGTAATACATTTATTTTTTTTCAAACAACATTGTTAGCACCACTTGCGAACGTTGAGCCACTGTACTTAAGGAATGCTTAACAGAGGCTCATTGGAGTTAGTGTTACTTTTTCATCGGCAACTTGATAATTTTTTGGTCTTATATAGGTGTGTTTATTGCTATACATAAATATGTGTCTTTCAGATGCAAAATATCATGTCTGAACAATGAAAATGTTATAGGCCAAAGTACAATTATATATTTTCATGTTGTAATTACATATTTTCGTATTTTACAATTTAAGATTTAACTTTCACGAACAAAAAATTTCTTTAATTTAAAAACAAATTTCAAAAGAGAATATTGATTTCTTTATTTTTAATTAATTTAAAAAATTATAATCCGATTTTCACCTTAAATTAAAATTTACAATTTTACTTAGAACTGTTATAATTTCAGCTGCCAATTATACAATTATTGAAATACATATTATAATTCGTTAACTCCCATATTGTTATGTTTGGCAGAATGTATAAAGTAATTAATATAAAAGAGATTTTCATAAATGTAATAGTGCAAAATAATTGACTGCAAAAGGGCAATACTGCAAATGAATATGCGACTATGTGAGTCTTACTTATTACAATATAATCTTATATTTTATTACTCATAATCTAGCAATGTTTATTAACAATCTAGATGGGCAACATTTGTTTATGTATACATTCAATTTAATACAATTATTTTTGAGCGGAACTTTAATTTAAATTTCCAATTTATATTTTAAAATGTTGTTCTATAAAATTTGTAATCTGTTATATATGTTTTTAATATAACGTAAACCTAAAACCAATAATTTATTTTTCAATATGGTAGAAAACTTCATTTCCAATTTGTATTCAATTAAAGTAAAAACAACAATTTTTATTTCTTTTTTAATATTTTAAAAATTAAATTTATTCAATTATGTAAGTTTTATTTAATTTAATTTATATAATAATAAATTACAAAATATTTTAAAATGTTATACAAAAAATTCATATAATATATTATGTATTTGTATGTATGTAAAAGAATGTTTCTAAATATATTTGGACAATCTTGATATTAATTTTAATATTTTTTTTTACTTATTATAATCTACACGTTATGTACGAGCGCGTGTGTATGTATATGGAATATAAGATTTTATTAAATTAAAATGTAAAATTAAAAGCGTGCAAAACAATTAAAGCAATTTTCGTTTATACCGGTTAAAGGTGTTTTATTATAATGAGTGTGTAAAAATTCTATTCGGATTATAAAAAAAAATTTTTATTTTTAAAACACTAAACACATAATTTAAAAATAATAAAGCAATTCCTAATGTAGAAATTTT